GGAGGGTGTGTGTGTGTGGAGGGTGTGTGTGTGTGGAGGGTGTGTGTGTGTGGAGGGTGTGTGTGTGTGTGGAGGGTGTGTGTGTGTGGAGGGGGTGTGTGTGGAGGGGGTGTGTGTGTGGAGGGTGTGTGTGTGTGTGTGTGTGTGGAGGGTGTGTGTGTGTGTGGAGGGTGTGTGTGGAGGGGTGTGTGTGTGTGGAGGGTGTGTGTGGAGGGGTGTGTGTGGAGAGGGTGTGTGTGGAGGGTGTGTGTGTGGAGGGTGTGTGTGTGGAGGGTGTGTGTGTGTGGAGGGTGTGTGTGTGGAGGGTGTGTGTGTTGAGGGTGTGTGTGGAGGGGTGTGTGTGGAGTGTGTGTAATTACCTAAGTGTAATTACCTAAGTGTAGTTACAGGATGAGAGCTACGCTCGTGGTGTCCCATCTTCCCAGCACTCAGTCATATAACATTTTGAAACTACTGACGGTCTTGGCCTCCACCACCTTCTCACTTAACTTGTTCCAACCGTCTACCACTCTATTTGCGAAGGTGAATTTTCTTATATTTCTTCGGCATCTGTGTTTAGCTAGTTTAAATCTATGACCTCTTGTTCTTGAAGTGCCAGGTCTCAGGAAATCTTACCTGTCGATTTTATCAATTCCAGTTACTATTTTGTATGAAGTGACCATATCACCTCTTTCTTCTGTCTTCTAGTTTTGGCATGTTTAATGCTTCTAACCTCTCCTCGTAGCTCTTATCCTTCAGTTCTGGGAGCCACTTAGTAGCATGTCTTTGCACCTTTTCCAGTTTGTTGATGTGCTTCTTAAGATATGGGCACCACACAACAGCTGCATATTCTAGCTTTGGCCTAACAAAAGTCATGAACAATTTCTTTAGTATATTGCCATCCATGCATTTAAATGCAATTCTGAAGTTAGAAAGCATAGCATAGGCTCCTTGCACAATATTCCTTATGTGGTCCTCAGGTGATAGTTTTCTATCTAGAACCACCCCGAGATCTCTTTCTTAATCAGAATTCTTTAAAGATTTCTCACATAATATATAGGTTGTGTGGGGTCTATGTTCTCCTATTCCACATTCCATAACATGACATTTATTAACATTAAATTCCATTTGCCAAGTGGTGCTCCATCTACTTATTTTGTCCAGGTCTTCTTGCAGGGCATGACAATCCTCTAAATTTCTTATCCTTCCTATTATCTTAGCATCATCAGCAAACATGTTCATATAATTCTGTATACCAACTGGTAGATCATTTATGTAGACAATAAACATCACTGGTGCAAGAACTGAACCCTGTGGTACTCCACTTGTGACATTTCTCCATTCCGATACATTGCCTCTGATTACTGCCCTCATTTTTCTATCAGTCAGAAAATTTTTCATCCATGATAGAAGCTTACCTGTCACCCCTCAAATATTTTCCAGTTTCCAGAACAACCTCTTATGTGGAACTCTGTCGAAAGCCTTTTTTAGGTCCAGATAGATGCAGTCAACCCAACCATCTCTTTCCTGTAATATCTCTGTGGCTCGATCATAGAAACTGAGTAAATTCGATACACAGGATCTTCCAGATCGAAAACCATACTGTCTGTCTGATATTATATCATTTCTCTCTAGGTGTTCTACCCATTTAGTTTTGATTAGTTTTTCCAATACTTTCACTATTACACTTGTCAATGATACAGGTCTATAATTGAGAGAGTCTTCCCTGCTGCCACTTTTGTAGATTGGAACTATGTTAGCCTGTTTCCACACGTCTGCTACGATTCCTGTACACAGGGATGCCTGAAAGATCAGGTGAAGTGGAATGCTGAGCTCAGATGCACATTCTCTCAGAACCCATGGTGAAACGCCATCTGGGCCAGCTGCTTTGTTCTTACCGAGCTCCTTGAGCATTTTTTCCACTTCGTCTCTAGACACCTCTATGTACTCTATGTTGTTCTCTGGAATTCTTATTGTATCTGGTTCCCTAAAGATTTCATTTTGTACAAACACACTTTGGAACTTTTCGTTTAGTGTTTCACACATTTCCTTTTCATTTTCCGTGAATCTATTTCCCATTTTCAACCTCTGAATATTATCCTTTACCTGCAATTTGTTGTTTATGAATTTATAGAATAGACCTGGTTCTCTTTTACATTTGTCTGCAATCCCTTTTTCAAAATTTCTTTCTGCCTCTCTCCTCACTGCCGTGTAGTTGTTTCTCGCATCTTTTTATCGCTGGTATGTTTGGGGGTTCGGCCTCATCCTGTATTGATTCCATTTTTGTGTCTTTTGGTATCTAGCCCTCTCGCAATTTCCATTGAACCAATCCTGTTTCCTAGTTCTGCATCTCTGTTTTGGTATAAATTTTTTTGTGCCTTTATCATATATTTCACAAAACTTGACATACATCTCATTCACTTCCTTGCCTAGCATCAAGTCTGTCCAATTATACTTACTAACAAAATTTCTAAGGTCACCATAATGTCCTCTCCTGAAGTCTGGTTTTTCAACTGCTTCAACCTCCTTATTTTCTTCCAGCTTATAACGCATTGCATACTTTATTCCCAAAAAGACATGGTCACTTTTACCCAAGGGAGGAAGGTACTGAATGTCAAATATTTCTTCCTCCTTCCTGGTAAATATAAAATCTAGCATGGAGGGGACGTCCCCTTCCCTCATCCTCGTAGCTTGTTTAACATGTTGATACAAGAATGTTTCCAGAATGAGGTCTACAAATTTACAGGTCCAGAAATCTTCTGTTTTAGCTTCACATGCTTCCCAGTCTATGGATTTCACGTTGAAGTCGCCGACTATCAACAGTCGTGAACTATCGTTATCCGCTCTCGCTATGATCTCTCTCATTATTGTTATAAGACCTTCTCGTTTACTATCTAGCTCCTCCTTTGACCATGTGCTGCTTAGTGGTGGACTATATGCATTTATGATCATTAGTTTATCATCCTCATGGCAGATCTCTAGTTCTATTATGTCAACTTCTTGTGGATTGGCAGTCACTATTTCGTTCACCTTTAGGTGTTCTTTCACCAGCACAGCAACGCCACCGCCTTTCCTGATTTTTCTGTCCCGTCTCTAAATTGAGTAGCCCCTTGGGAATGTGACCTCATTTAAAATAGCATCTTCAAGTTTTGTCTCCGTGAGTGCAACAATGTCTGGTGTCTGCAGCTGTATTATATCACTTAACTCCAGTATCTTTGATCTTACTCCATCTATGTTGGTGTATGCAATCTTGAGGAACTTGTTCCCCCTCCTCTTATTTTTCACTCCCCCTTTCTCTAATGATTTTGTTGGTTTGCCTTTATGTACCACTTTACTGGCCTGCCTACCCCTATCACTTTGTAGAAAAAAGAATTGATTTCTTCTTCATTCCTGCTCTCATTTAAACGTTTTGCCTCGGCGAGGTTCAGTTTCAGCTTCTCTCTATCTTCTTTTGAAAGATCTCGTCTTAACGACCACACTTTCCCATCCTCATCACTTTGTAATTTTCTAGCATTCCTTAGTACTTCTTCCATCTGTTTGGTACCATTTAGGGTGATTCTCAAAGGTCGATCTTTCCCTTTTACATATCTGCCTATTCTCCTGTAGTCGCAGACATTCTCTATGGTTGTAAGACCTTCCACGAGGCCAACAATTTTATCTACTACTTTAGCTTCTTCTACAGCTCTTTCTGACCTAGATGTTATCTCCTTTTCCTTGCAGCCAAAAATGATCAGGGACTTACTCGGATCAACTGTGTTTTGCACCAACTTCGGGTTAGATGCCAATTCTTTCCTCACTTCTAGCCTAATGTTTGTTTTATCTTGGTTGCTGCAGTGTTTGACTTCCTTTACTGCTTCTTCTATTATTTCCTTCTCCTTGGCAGCTTGTGCATAAGTGAGTTGCATATCTTTCTTGCACTGTTCTATTCCCTGTGTAACTTCCTCCATCTGTGCTGACAAAAGCTGTTTCTCCTGTTGAAATTCCTTACCTAACCTATTGTAGTCATTTATGTTTAAATTTACTTTAACTTCTTCCAAAGCTATTTTTAAGAGTCTATTTTCTTCTTCCATGGCTTTGCAATTAGTTTCCAATTGAATCTTATCCTTGCGCAAGTCTTTCACTAAACCCTCAAGACATACAACTTTGCTATTCAAATGGTCATTACTTTCTTTCAATTTACTAATTATTTCTCCATGAGAGTTCACTATAGTATCTAAATTTACCAACTTGTTATGTAGACTGCTAATATCAATGCTTTCTTCATTGAATCCCTCAAAATCAAGCTCTGTTTTGTTTTTCCCCTTGCCGGCGGCCATCTTGAATGTTCTTCTCTGCACTGTAAACACTAGGGCAACTTTTTCTCATTCGATTTTTCATTTCCCTTAGCACTTTCCTGTTATCTCACCTATTTTTCAAGAGCACTATACCTTTATGTTCTCTGCGACACCACTCACTATCATCATCCTGTACTACAATACTTAGGATTGTTGAAATATGCTAGAGCTCCTCTGCTGCAAGTGTTGACCCTAGGGGTGGCACCTTTTGAATCTTCACCCTCCACGTGTGTGGAGGGGTGTGTGTGGAGGGTGTGTGTGGAGGGTGTGTGTGGAGGGTGTGTGTGGAGGGTGTGTGTGGAGGGTGTGTAGGGAGGGGTGTGTGTGGAGGGTGTGTGGGGAGGAGTGTGTGTGGAGGGTGTGTGTGTGGAGGGTGTGTGGGGAGGAGTGTGTGTGGAGGGTGTGTGTGTGGAGGGTGTGTGTGTGGAGGGTGTGTGTGTGGAAGGGTGTGTGTGGAGGGGTGTGTGGGGAGGGGAGTGTGTGGAGGGTGTGTGTGGAGGGGAGTGTGTGGAGGGGGGTGTGGAGGGGAGTGTGTGGAGGGGTGTGTGTGTGTGGAGTTAAGTAAGGAAAGCAATGCTCAGGAAACCTGCCCCCTACTCCCAAAGCTTGTGGTAAATGTTGAATGTGATTTGCATGTAGAGATAAAACAGTAGGTACAATGACAAATAAATAGCCGGGGCTTCTAACCTTCTCGTGGTCGGAACAAATGAGCCAGTTGCAGCTGCCAAGGCAGAATCCAGAACTTACTGCTGTTACCTTCAATGCTCCACATATGTCCTGAAATCATCAAGTTACCTGTTAAAAATTATTACTTCTTACAAAAGAAGTCCATGATGCAGAGCAGTGGAAATAAGAATGATGTTATTTGTCATATATCATCTGTTTAAATCAACTTAAGTTATGAACAGCAAATAATATCTACCAATCCATCACCATTATTCTCTATTTTATCTTTAACAAAATACAAACTATCATACCCTCCAAAAATATAAACAATTATTTAATATAATTAAATGTGCAGATATGAGCATATATAGTATTGTTTTAATTAAAACTTAATACTGTACACCTTATGCCCAATTTGTGCTGATAATGAAAAACAGACCAGTTTGATAAAGAGACTCAAGCCTTGTAATCAGCCTAATGAACTCTCCCAACCATGGAAACAACGATCAAAATCTCTCAAAACTAGTTTCAGCTTGTTCACCCTGCATTCCCCACTTGTTTGGGGAAGGCAGGGTGAAAGGGGGCCCGAAATAAGATAGAAAGCAACAGGCACCAAAGAGAGGAACTGAGAGGCCACCTCTTTAGGAAAGCGGAGGGGAAAGAAAACCAGTGTTGAATGTAATGAAATGTCATTTTCTGGGTGAGTCCTGGAGGCTCCCCATAGCTATCCAGGCTGAATGGATATGTATAACTTTCTAGCATCAGTCAGTGCATGGAGTTCTTGCCTACCGGGGACCACGAGCTAGAACCTGGCCCCCCTCTAGAGAGGCACGAGGAACAATGGCCTATAGAGACCCCCCCCCCCCCTATAGACATCGCCGACCGGAAGGAGGGTGGGAAACCAGGGAGCCTCCGGGTCTCACCCAGAAAATGGCGTTTCATTACATTCAACACTGGTTTCCTGAGGGAAGCTCTGTCGGCTCCCCGGAGCTAACTACCCAAAGATAAGGAAAAAACAGGAGGCGGTCCGTCCTCACTCCTCAACACAAAGTCGAGAATACTGGCTGCAACCGCCGACCCAATGCAATGCAGGCCCACCTAGGCCCAGGAACATTCAACAGGTAACGAGCGGTCAGGACCCTGTTCCACCTTCAAAAACCCCGGGTCCGAATGTCCACCCCCAACATGTTACCAAAGATGGCAGCCAAGGCAGGCTGGGTAGATTTAATAACACTGCGGACAGCCTGAGAGACCTGAGCCCAGAAAAAGGGAAGAAGGGAAACCGGGTCCACCCAGAGCGCATCCCCGGCATCCGAAGCCATGGCGCATAAATAACGGCGAAGAGCTGCACACATGATGCCCCCCCGGCCGGACCAACCAAGCATCAACAACCAAAGGCCCTCTACGGAAGGCAGCCATCTCATTCTTTGCCAGAAAAAGAAGGAGACGGCTGCAAGCGAACAAAACGACCACCGGGACCGAAGGAGCAGAAACTCCTGCACCGGAGGAGAGCATGAAGCTCCCCAACCCGACCCCCAGAGGCCAATGCCAAAAGGAAAAGTGTCTTAGAAAAACAATCCCGAACGGAAGGTGCCACAACATACCAAGGAGAAGAGAGAAACGAGAGCACGCGGTCCAAGGACCAGGATGGCTCAGGCGGCGCATGAGCAGGCCGGAGGTGAAACAACGCACGAGACAGCTTGCAAAACGGGGCAGAAGTAACATCAACACCGAAAGCAAGCTGAAGCGGCTCTGCCAATGCTGCATGATACAAGGCGACAGTATTAGGCATAAGATGACGGGAATGAAACAACCAAGAAAGAAAGGACAGAACAACCCTATCAGAGACAAAAGAATATCTAGGCAATGATAGGAAAAGCCGGAAGGACCACCAGAAAAGTTCATACTGCCGCCGAAACGAAGCACACAGGTGGGAAACCAAAAACGAAGCCATCTGCGTACCATACAAGTGATGATAAACTTGAGTCAAAAACACCGGACGTGAAGACTCAAGAAGATCGAACCAGCCTCGTACCGGACTGGACCGATCTGCTGAAAGAAGCGGAGCCACGGGAAGTCCCTCGGGTTTGGACACCGAGCAAGCAGCACCTGAAACCAAGGCTGGGCCGGCCACCACGGAGCCAGAAGGACTATCCAACCCTGGTAAGTCTCCAAGCGAGCTAGGACCTGGAGCAACAGCTGAACCGGGAAAAAAGAGGTAGAGGTAACTCCACCTTGACCAGTCCTGCCTGAAGGCATCAACCCCGACGGCCTCGCAGTCGGGGAAGGGCGCCACGTATAATGGGAGACACCTCAATCACGCCGACGCGAAGAGATCCATGTCCGGAGTCCCGAACGTCTGGCACAGCCAACTAAAGGAGACAGCATTGACCGTCCATTCCGTGGAAAGGGGAAGAAAACAGGACAGGCCATCTGCCAGGACGTTGGACACCCCCCGGACATGAACTGCCAGGAGAGCCAAACCCCGAGAACTCAGCAGACGAGTCACCCGAAGCGACCTACCCCAAAGAGCCAAGGACCCTGCAAACACAAACCGAAACTGTCTCCATTTTCCGCTTGTTACAACTTGTAATAAAGTTGTTACATCTTGGCTTAACGTGTTTATAATGTATTAGAACGTTGTTACAACTTGCTATATTGGTTGTTATAACTGGTTAGGAGGTGTTAAAACTTGTTCGAACGTTGTACCAACGTCGTAGTTTCGGTGTGTGTTTGGCGGGGACCGCATCGAAACCCCACGGTTCAAACAAAGAACCACTGGGGAGCAGTCTGAATGGAGCCTGATCGTCAATCCGTGAGCATCTTGAACCCTCCGGAGCGACATCCACACCGCCGCGAACTCCCGGACCGTGCTGTGAGCCCGACGGAAGGACGGACCCAACCACCCCTGGCCGGCCTAGTGAGCACTGGTCACAAAGCCCCAGCCAAGAGACGATGCATCCGTGAACACATCGAGTGAGGACTCAGGTACGCACCAAGGCACTGGACCCTGAAAAACCCGAAGAGGAAGCCGGCGACACATGCCCCCCCCCCCCCCCCCACCAGAGGCCGAACCCCGCACTGGTGGGAGAAGCGGAAGGGAGGTCCTGGAATGAACCAGAACAGCCAACGAAGTCAGATCCGACCTGGCTGGAGGACCATCATGGCAAAGTTCAGGCTCCTGCACAAACCCTCGAGCAACCGCGTGGGGAGCCGGTCGGCCGATCGGACAGCACGCTGGACTTGTGATCCTGTGGTCCCGGGTTCGATCCCGGGCGCCGGTGAGAAACAATGGGCAGAGTTTCTTTCACCCTATGCCCATGTTACCTAGCAGTAAAATAGGTATCTGGGTGTTAGTCAGCTGTCACGGGCTGCTTCCTAGGGGTGGAGGCCTGGTAGAGGACCGGGCCGGGGGACACTAAAGCCCCGAAATCATCTCAAGATAACTTCTCAAGAAGATAACCGCCGCGTAACCTGGTAGCCCCCCAGAGTCCCACACAAGACCCAGCCAGGACCAAACCTAAAAGGGAACCAGATGGGACTTCCCCTAGTTCACCAGGAACTCAAACCCGGTGAGCTGGGAAAGAACCAAATTCCTGGCGATCAGACATGCAGACTGGCTGGGAGCCCACACCAGCCAGTCGTCGAAGTAAGCCAGAACCCGAATCCCTAAAAGACGCAGATGGGCCATCATGACCCAGGAAAGGCATGTGAAAACACGAGGCACCAGATTCGAGCCGAATGGAAGGCAACTCAAGCAGTAACACTGACACCCCACAACAAAACCGAGCCAGTCCCTGAACCCCAGATGAATCAAGATGTGCCAATAAGCATCCTGGAGATCCAGGGACACCATCCAAGCGCCTGGCTCCAAACCCTGGTTTGTGCCTCAGAGAGGCTGCAGTATCCAGTAAGTTCAGTAGAACTTCGGTTTCAACTCCATTTAACCATGTCGTAGCTCAGTCGATTAAGGCAGCGTCTGGGATGCTCTTGGATGCAGGTTCGAATCCTCGTCACAGCCCATGTGGATTTGTTCATTTGATGCATCACGCAATTGTGATTTCTGTGTGTAATGAAGTAAGGGTGAAGAGGGAGAACAGCCTATTAATATAGCTCGAGTGCATAGGGGGAGTTGTGTAAAACCCTGGTTTGTGCCTCAGAGAGGCTGCAGGATCCAGTAAGTTCAGAAGAACTTCGGTTTCAACTCCTTTTGACCATGTCGTAGCTCAGACGATTAAGGCAGCGTCTGGGATACTCTCGGACGCAGGTTCAAATCCTCGTCACGGCCCTTGTGGATTTGTTCAGAAACTGAGTAAGTTCGTTATACAGGATCTTCCAGATCGAAAACCATACAGTCTGTCTGATATTATATTGTTTTTCTCCAGGTGTTCTACCCATTTAGTTTTAATTATTTTTTCCAATATTTTGACTATGACACTTGTCAATGACACAGGTCTATAATTAAGGGGATCTTCCCTACTGCCACTTTTGAAGATTGGAACTATGTTAGCCTGTTGTTGTTGTTATAGATTCAGCTACTCGGAACAAGATCCAAGTTACACGGGCTATGGTGAGCCCGTAGCTTACCTGGCACAGGAGAGGGGCAAGTAGCACAGGCTATGGTGAGCCCGTAGCTTACCTGGCACAGGAGAGGGGCAAGTAGCACAGGCTATGGTGAGCCAGAAGTGGACTTAGCTGGCACAGGAGCGGTGCTGAATGTTTGTACTATGTTAGCCTTTTTCCACACATCAGCTACAACTCCTGTAAACATTGATGCCTGAAAAATCAGTTGAAGTGGAATGCTAAGCTCAGGTGCACATTCTCTCAGAACCCATGGTGAAACTCCATCTGGACCATCTGTTTTGTTCTTATTTAGCTCCTTGAGAATTCTTTCCACTTCGTCTCTAGACACCTTGGAACTTTTCGTTTAATGTTTCACACATTTCCTTTTCATTTTCCGTGAATCTATTTCCCATTTTCAACCTCTGAATATTATCCTTTACCTGCAATTTGTTGTTTATGAATTTATAGAATAGACCTGGTTCTGTTTTACATTTGTCTGCAATCCCTTTTTCAAAATTTCTTTCTGCCTCTCTCCTCATTGCCGTGTA